AACACTGCACACTAGCCTTCAGGAGCAGACCACTGGGCAGAATTGCACATCCCACCAGCAGAAAATTATTAGAATCAAGGACGTCTTGGGAGCCTCCAGGGGGTTTGGAACACGAAGATCCTTGAACGTATGGCCAACCTCCCCCACCCCTCCCCGTTCCTGCAGATTCAAGGCAGAGGGCTGCCCAGGCTCAGATCCCTGCCCATCCCCTGCCTCCAGGGGCCCTGGGATCCTCACTTATTTAAGAGATGGCTGAGCTGGAGGACGTGCCTGCTGTTTTGGGGGTGCTGTTACACAACCAAATGCCTGGAAACTTGTAAAACTGCCATGAGCTAATGTGATCTGAAAAGGTTGGACAAGCTGGCCTGTGTCTGTGGGCGCATCTGCTTGAGCCCTCCTGTGATATTTACCCAGAAAGGCACACTCCAGGCTTGTTCTGGTGACGCACATGCCCAGGGCATCCCACGGGAGCCACGTGGCCTGCCCTGCCCTGGGCACCTGCGTGGCCCTTGATCTGAGCTGGGGCGGTGACCCAGCATCTCCCCGGATTCAAGTCATGTCCACGGATAGCTGGCGGGGGGGCAGTGAGGCGCCACGCATGGGCTCAAGCCCCTGAATCACATCTTTACTAACACCCGAGCACCCAAAATTTTACTGAAATCCAACCACCCAAAAATAGTCAAGTGAGTCAGTCCAGGGCAGGGAGCGTGTGTCTCCCGGCTTTGTGCACGTGCGCTACCGTTGGAAACCCTGGCTGAGCCCTTGCGTGGCTGCTTCCCAGTCGTGGGCTTCCTCCGAGTGGCTGGAATGGGCTCGCCCGGGCAGGAGAGCGGGCGGTGCAATGTATAGGAGGAGTGGTGAGCGGTGGTGAAATTGTCAGGGGCCTGAAATCGGCCACGTGGGGCTATTTATACCACGGAAAGTGATAGATGCTACAGAGGGACACCCCGGCCACCGGAGCTGATGAGCAAACATTTCCCAGGACATCCGTGGGCCTGGGGCAAGCGGCTGCTCTCCCCTGAGCCCCCAGTTCCTTATCAGTAAAACGGGCACGCCCACAGTCCCGCCTCACCGATGGTGAGCACCCTGCCTGGGGTTTTATGGGGACGATTCTGTTGAGTGCTCCTAGGAGCCTCTGAAGGGCATACCCATATCATGCAGGGCTTGCAGAAGAGACTCAGAGGGAGGTCAGTCGCCAGGGATGGTGTTGGCTGCTCCTGTAGGCAGCGGGCCCCTCGCCTCCCTGCGTCAGCATCTGCTGCCTCCCCCTTGCTCCTGGTGTCCCGAACATCAAGAAAGTGCAAATCACCCAGTCCCTCTGGGCTTTAGGTGTCCATCCACGGAGAAAAGCGTGTTCTGTTTTTACCATCTTAACCTTTTTTAAGCATGTAGTTCGGTAATGTTAACTATATTCATGTTGTTGTGCAAAAGATTTCCAGAAATTTTTCATCTTGCAAAACTGAAACTCTATACTCATTAAACAACAACCCCATTCCTCCTTCCCCCAGCTCCTGGGAACCAACCGTCTACTTTCTGTCTCTGTGAGTCTGACTAATTTAATTCCATGTAAGTGGAATGTGGATTAGGATTTGTCTCCGTGTCTGGCTTATTTCACTCAGCATCATGTCCTCAAGGTTCATCCATGTTGTAGCCGGTGTCAGGATGTCCTTCCTTGTAATAGTTGAATAATATTCCATTGTATGGATAGACCCCATTTTGTTTATTCATCTGTCAGTGGACACATGGGCTGCTTCCACTTCTTACCTATTGTGAATAATGCTGCTGTGAACATGGGTGGGCAAATATCTATTCCAGATCTTGCTTTCAATCCTTTTGGGCATCTACGCAGAAGTAGAATTGTTGGACATGTGCTCATTCTATTTTTCATTTTTTATGAGGAACCTCCACACTGTTTTCCCTAGCAGTTGCACCAGCTGGGCCCAGGCGTTCAAATTTATCCACATCCCTGCTAACACTGGTTATTTTCTGTTTTTGTTTTTGTTTTTGTTTATAGTAGCCATCCTAATGGGTATGAGGTCATATTTCATTGCGGTTTTGATTTGCATTTTTCTAAGGATTAGTGATAATGACCCTCCTTTCATTATACTGATTGGCCATCTGTAGATCATTTTGGAGAAATATCAGTTCAAGTCCTTTCCTCATTTCTTAGCCGGGTTATTTGTTGTGTTGGTGTTGAGTTGTAGGAGTTCTTTATGTATTCTTGATACTAATCCCTCATCAGATATATGATTCATAAAAATTTTCTCCCACTCTGTAGGTCACCTTTTTACTGTTGGCTGTTTCCTTTGAGGCACAGAAGTTTTCATGCTTGACGTGGTCCCATGTGACTAATTTTGCTTTTTGTTGCCTGTGCCTTTGGTGTCAAATCCAAGAAGTCATTGCCAAGTCCAATGTCATGAAGCTTTCCCTTGTTTTCTCCCGGGAGTTGTATAGTCTTCGGTCTTTAATCCATTTGAGTTAAAATTTGTATACGGTGCAAGATAAGGGTCCAAGTTCATTCTCTTGCATGTGGATATCCGGCTTTCCCAACACCGTTTGTTGAAGAGACTGTCTCTTCTCCCATTGAGTGGTCTCAGTAGCCTTGTTGAAGATCACTTGACCATATACATGAAGGTCTATTTCTGGGCTCTCTTTTCTCTTCCACTGGTTTATTTGTCTGCTTTTATGCCAGTGCCACACTGCTTTGATTATGGGAGCTTTGTAGTAAGTTATGAAATCAGGAACTGAGAGTCCTGCAGCCTTATTCTTCTTCAAGATTGTTTTGGCTATTTGAGGTCCCTTGAGATTCCCTATGAAAGCTAGGATGGATTTTTCTATTTCTGCAAAAAGTACTCCTGGAATTTTGATAGGGATACATTGAATCTGTAGATCGCTTTGGGTAGCATTGATATCTTCACGATATTGTTTTCCAATCCAGGAACATGGGATGTCTTTCCATTTACTCGTATCATCTTTCATTTCTTTCAGCACAGTTTTGTAGTCTTAGTGTAACAGTGTTTCACCTCCATAGTTAGGTTTATTTTTAAGTATTTTATTCTTTTTGATGCTATTATAAATGGAATTGTGAAAAAATTTCCTTTTTGGATTGTTCATTGTTAAGGTAGAAAAATGCCATTGATTTTTGTATGTTGATTTTGTATCCTACAACCTAGCTGAATGTGTTTATTAATTCCAACAGTATTTTGGGGGTCTTCAGGGTGAGAAAAGGGTTTAAATAAGACCTGCTTTAAGGCCCTTCCTGATGACCTTCCATGATTTTGTGACTCCAGCCAGGGCCTGTGGTTCCTGTAAGAGAGAGGGGCTCTGTTTTGCAAGGGGGTTTGCCTCAGTTTGGGGCTTGCTTTTAAAGTCAACCCAACCCAATCTTTACTGGCAGATGACTGTGAATCAGGAACATGCTTCCCAGGAACTCAGTGATCACAAGCAATGGCCTCATGCATCTATCAGATAGGGGCACAGAGGCGGGGAGAGGTCGACCCACATGAGTCTGGTTGACCCAGAGCCCATGTTCCAGTTATCCTCATTCTCAGCTTTCTCCCTTTATTACATGTCCCTACTCAGAAGAAATGAGGACTCTCCCAACTCCACTGCTTTAGTGGAGACAAATGCAGGATGTCTCGAGAACCAGTAATTCTGTGAATATAGAAAGGCACCTGGAATTCCCCAGACTCTTTCCCTCACTTTGCCAGAAGCAGAGGTCCATCTGCCCCTGTTTTCCTCCCTCATTCAAGAAGTATTTTTTTTAGCACCTACTGTGTGCTGGGCCCAAGCACAAGGGTGCAGTGGAGAGCCAGGCCCGCCAGCCCTTGGCCTCATGGGGCTCCTGGGAGCCTCAGAAGAGCCCGGTGAATTCACGCTGAGCCCCAGTGCTGACCCTCTTACTTAACTGGGAGCATGTGCGTCTGACACGAACCTGCAATCTTGGGCCATTAATGGGTGAGCTTTAAAAATGATTTTTCCTGTTTCAAAATGAGATTGGCTTTGAGCCCCAAGTTCCTCCGTGGGCTGTCTAAAATTAGAACCCCGTTGACAAGGCAATCTTTGTCAGGGGCCCACGGCTTGCACTAGGGAAGCAGGGAAATGTCAACAGTACATTTTCTGTGTCAATTTTGAGTTTTTTGAGAGGCCTGGGCAAATGGCAACTCAGAGCAAATGTTCACTGTTTCAAAAGCTTTCAGAATCCAGCCCCTCGGCAGCAATGTGATTAAAGTGTCAGATTTATAAGGAGCCAGGTCTGTGTTTGGGAGAGTGGCCTCCGCACCCTCCTGTGTAGACAGGAGCTGCACAGGCGGACTTAGCTAAGCTCACGGCAGTGATGGGATAAGCTCCTCCATCCCTGTGAGCTCTGCACTTGGCTGTTCTCTCCACGTCCCTTTTGTTTCGAGGATGGTCCTGGGGCTGACCTCACCTGTGGGGACACTGTGGGCTCAAGGACTTGCCTGAAGGCCAGGAAGCAGGAACCCATTGCCAGGTGTGTAAATGACATGCCAGCAAACCGACCGAGCGGGGACAAGACCCCGGCCATCGGCGTCGGGCAGGGAGTCGTGGCCCCTGCTGGTGTGGCCTCCGTGCTGCTGCTGGCCTGGTTGGTGTAGGGGTGTGCTGGCCACACGCACCCAGAGACCAGAGATGCGTGTGCTCAGGCTGGGCCCGGTGCCTCTGTTTTTGTGTCATCCCCTGGATGTTATTTACATCAGTCTCCGCCACCGTGTGGGGCCGAGAAGGGCTCCAGTGACGTGATGTGCAGAACTTAGCCCAGGGACACCGTGTGAACAGCACTGTCATCTACGTGGGGGTGGGGGCCCCTGGTCCTTTGCAGGCCCCTGGGGCCCAGGTCTCACTGAAGTGACTCTCACAAATGTCTGCAGCCTGATGATAAGGTCCTTCCAACCCCGCTGCAGGCCTTTGTCCTGCCCTCCCCGACGTGCCCGCCCCAGCTCTGTGCCCCGGCCCCAGCTCTCCTGGAAGGCCTGTCTGCAGCCCCAGACTCCGCTAACCTTGCAGCCAGGCCTGTCCCAGGCAGGTGACTTCCTTCCCAGCACTGGCCCACCCTGGCCATGGTTGCCACAGAGCTGCCTTGTGCTTCTGGCTGAGTCCAAGACTCGGGTCCTGGGGACAGAGGCTGTCTGTCTTCAGAGCCCAGCGTCTGGCCGAGGCTGACCAGGCTAGGGAGCAATCACAGGGACGACTCAGCGCCTGTCTGCTTCCCTTCTTGATGCCTCTGAACCCACGGAGTGCAGCCGTGGTGAGCCATGAGCTGTGCCGCCGACCTCCCAGCAACTCGCTTGCACACACATCTCGGGGCTTCTTGAAACAGACAAAGCCAGGCTCCTGGCCCCATTTACAGAGGAGGAAATTGAGGCCAGAGGGAGTCTGGGGGACTTGCCAGAGTCACTGTGGTGTTTGCACGGTGGCCTCCAGAACAGAGGTCTACGTCCCAACCCTCACCCAGAACCGGCAAGCTTGGCCTTAGTTGGAACTTGCCGACTTTGCTGATGGGATTAACATAAGAATCTTGAGATGGAATCATCCAGGATCAGGGTGGGTCCTGACTCCAATGACAAGTGTCCTGATAAGAGATGAAAGTAGAGAAGACACGGACACAGAGGAGAAGGCACGTGACACAGAGAATGGAGGGAAGTGACCACAAGCCAAGGAGCACCTGCAGCCCCCAGAAGCTGGAAGAGGCAAGAAGGACCCTGTCCTAGAGCTTCCAGAGGGAGCACAGCTTGCTGACACCTGGACGTGGGGCTTCAAGCATCCAGAACTGGGAGACAGCACACTTCTGCTGTTTTAAGTCCTTGGTCTGTGGTCAAGGACACTCACACAGTGACTGAGAAGAGTTGAGGCCCGGGACCCTTGAATCCACTTTCTCCCACTGGCACCCCTTCTTCCCCTTAAAGATTGCCAGAGCGTGGAGCTCTGTCCTCGGAGACCCCATGCCTTGGTAGGCAGGCCGGCCTGGGCCCAGGGCCAGCTAATGAGAATGGTGACAGTAGGGACTGTCCATCAGTAAGTGGCAGCTGGGCCTTGACCTGGGTTGTCTGAGCCGTGCCCTGTCCCCCCAGGTGCGGGCCATGAGGCTGTCCTTCGTGGGGGAGCTGGGCTGGGAGCTGCATGTGCCCAGGCCAGCCTGTGTACCCGTTTACCAGGCTGTGATGACTGCAGGCGCCAAGCATGGCCTCGTCAACGCCGGGTACCGGGCCATCGACTCCCTGAGCATTGAGAAAGGTGTGTGTGGGAGCCACGCAGCGCCGGTGGGCCACCCAGAGCCATGCTGTAGGCACGGGGCTGTCGCCCCCCTGTACTTCTTTCCTGTCCCCAGTCTGCTTCCCGTTTACCCCCTCATGCCTGCTTCCCCAGCCCGCACCCCCCGCCCCGCCCCTGCACCCTTCCTGTACTGCCCGTGAACGCGGTCCTCCACGCGGGCCTGGGGATGGTGCTCGGGTCTCTGACACCTGTACTTGGAGGATGAGCGGGAGAGGTGCTTGCCCGGCCTTGTGGGGACGGGGCCAGAGCTGGGTTGGGAGTCAGCGCCTGGCTTTCCCTGGGAGGTCTGAAGAATATGGGGCAGTGCTGCCCGGGTTCTCCCCGGCATCTCAGCTAGCAGTGCAGAGGCTGAGGGCTGGCCCAGGCGACCTTCTGCAGGCGAGGATGCCCCCCTCGCCGGGCCTTCAGAGGAGCCCATCCCCCACTGCCGGGCACTGACCCCGGGCTCTCCTCCCCACAGGCTACCGGCACTGGCATGCCGACCTGCGCCCCGATGACAGTCCCCTGGAGGCAGGCTTGGCCTTCACCTGCAAGCTCAAGTCGGCCGTCCCCTTCCTGGGACGGGAGGCCCTGGAGAAGCAGCGGGCCGAGGGCCTCCGCCGACGCCTGCTGTGCTTCACGGTGGATGAGTGAGTAGCCCGCGGTCCTGCGTCCAGCGGCCGGGCCCGAGGGGACATGGCGAGGGCACGCCCTCCTCAAACACAGCTTTGGAGAGAGAAAGGCACGCCACCGCCGAGCCACCTCTGTGGGGGTGGATCCAGGCCGAAGGCCCAGCGTCCCTGTCACTGAGCAGGAACCTCCCGCTGTGTTCTGGTTCCATCCTCCCCACTGCCCAGGCTGGGGCCACCTTCCCCACTTCCAGATGGAGACCTTGGGTGCCAGGGGACAGGGTAACTCAGCCACAGGAAGGAGAGCCCACGCTGCAGGGACCCAAGCCCCCCCACCCAGGGGGCAGCTTTGAGCAGGTGGCTCAGCTCTGTCCCCGGGAGCTGGGCCTGTGCTGTCCCTGGATTCCACTTGGGGCCAGCGACTCTGAAATGACAGCACCAGGCTGGTGTCAGCCCCGCCACGGCTCCGTGGGAATCTGAGTAGCATCGGTCTCCCGGACCGCGGAGGCCGGGCTTGGTTGATTTGCCGCTGACAGGTAGCCACAAATGGAACCACTTCTCCCAGATTTCTGGAGCCGTCAAAAGAAGTGTCAGGAGCTTCAAGGGGGGGTGGGGGCAGAGGGGGCGGAGCTGTGGCTTGTCATCGTCCTGCTGCTTCCCCCCCCCCCCCGGGCTCCTGTCAGGCAGGGCCTCGTCAGGCTGCTTGTCCACCTCCTGGGGACCAGCTTAGCTCCGGTGTGGGGACGCCGCCGGAGCAGGGGTCTGCGGAGCCCCTCCGCCCCGTGGCCCTCCAGAAAGTGCCTGCAGCCTGACCCCTGGAGCTAGGAGCAGCTTGGACAGCACTCGCCACAGCCCGGCTTACCCTGCCCGGGTGTTCTCTGCTGGGCCACCAAATCTACCCGCAGCTACAGCCAGGGAGGTCCCAATCCTGATGAAGGTCACGGCCAGGAGTTGTAGGGAGCTGCCAGTCAGCTCTGGGCCCTGGGCCACATAGGTGGCCTCCCCGAGCCTGTTTCCTCATCTGCCAACGGCATGTGGTCTGCAGGACTGGGGTGGGACGAAAGAGCAAGGGTGTGCCATAGACCCTCCGTCTGTCCCAGCCTCTTCCCCAGACGGTCACAGAGGCCCCCAGACCTTGTCCACGCGGGTCAGCTGGGGGGGGGCGGGGGATCCATAGCTGCGTCCACATCATGTCCCAGCCTGGCTTCCCCGGGCTCTCCTCAGGGGCACGGCCCTGGGCACAGTCAAGCTCTCCATAAACACCATGAACGAGGCGCCCGGAGGGACGAGTCCGCAAAGATTTGCGCCCAGACTTGCCCAGTTACTTCTGGGCGCTGGTGCGGCCGTGATTGCAGGTTGATCTGTGTGTTTTCTATTCTGAATTTTCAAAAACGTGTAGTCAGCACTCATACCTTACGCGTACTAAAGAAAAGGACGTTTGCTAGATGACGCGTCCTATTGTGAAAAGAGAGCCAGGCAGAAGAAAGCAAGCCTCGGGGGCATAAGGTTTTAAATCATTCAGAAGTCAACGGAAAACCGATGGAAAGGTGGGCCTCTCCCGAATACCTGCGGCCTGCCTGCAGACATGGGAGGCAGAGCCTGGTTGCGGTCTGCTCCGCTCGTCCGATCATCCCCGGGAGCCTGGGCGCTGGCATCCTGGGGGCGCTGGGTTGGCCCCGGGGCCGCGCAGCTCCCCCCTCTGGGGGCTCCGGGGCCCCAGCCTTTTCTCTTGCTTCTTCCAGAAAAGTGCCCATGTTCGGCCTGGAGGCCATCTGGAGAAATGGCCAAGTGGTGGGCCACATCCGGAGGGCTGACTTTGGGTTCGCCATCGACAAGACCCTGGCCTACGGCTACATCCGGGACCCCAGCGGCGGGCCGGTGAGTTGAGACCCCCCACCCTAAGGGAAGCCGGGTTCCTCATCAGACACCACGCCGGCACCCCTGCACCAAGCTGCGGGGTGGGGGGCGGTGGGAGTGGTGCACGGGTCACTGCTGATGGGGCTGTGTCTCCGGGCAGGGTCAGGGGCTGTTTCTGTATTTTCTGTCTGAAAGAATCTGACTTCGGGAGCTCCAGGTTTCCCTTGGTCAGAAAGAGGCTCTAGGCCAGGGCTGGCGCCCCGGTGGACGCCAGACGCCTGACCACCCTCCCAGGACCCCCTTCGTCTCCTCTCTCCCCTCATCCCAGACACGCTCCCGGCGTGGGGGGCACGTGCATCCGTGTGCACGCGTATATGCACACGTGTGTACATGCATACAGATGCGTGTGCGGGCATGGGCACATTTTGCCACGTGACACTTTATAAACCCCAATAATCCCCCACTGAGCCCGGTTCCTCCGTGTCCTGCGGGAGAAACCCCACTGGTGCCAGACCGCGGCTCTGCTGGGCCCCAGGCGGTCAAGTCCCACTCGGGGCACCTACCTGCTCAGGGCAGCCCCTCGGTTGGGAGGAGGGCCCTTGGCACAGAGGGGAGGAAGGGAGGCCGAGCCCCCTCTAAGAGGCAGGTGGGTATGAACCCAGCACCCACAAGGTGACAAGTGACCCCCACCCCCTCCTCTCCTGCAATAGGTCTCGCTGGACTTTGTGAAGAGTGGGGACTACGCTCTGGAGCGGATGGGGGTGACCTACCCTGCCCGGGCTCACCTGAAGTCCCCCTTCGACCCTGACAACAAGAGGGTGAAGGGGTTCTACTGACATGCCCACGGGGCAGAACTTCCACGGATCAGGAGGCCGAGACCTGCTCCATCCCTCGCTGACCATCCACACAGGGCCCGCCACCCTGGCCCAGGTCCTGGACCCCGACCAGAACATGGGTCTTCCCTGCTCTTACTCCAGGCCTGCTAACCCCCCAAACAGATACCAGCTGAGTGGACAGAAGACTCAGAGGGCCCATCCTGTGGTCACTGACCAAAGGATGGTCGCTAGCCAACCCCTACCCCCCCACAAAACAACCGTGTAAAGTCTTGGGCTCAGGCAGCGTGCCGTGTGGCCCTCTACAAGCTTCCGGGAAGATGCTCAGTTAGCACTTTACACCCAGTGTAAAAGCAGGGAGGCGGAGTTCCGTCTGGAATCCCAGGCCTGCCTGACAGGCGGACCGCCCAGAGCATCACTGGAGAGCTTCCGGGTGCGTCTGGAATTAGGCACAAAGTAAGGATTGACTAGACCTGTCTGCCGTGGGCGCAGTATGGGAAGCATAGAGCAGGTATGCCAGCTTGGCTCGGTCCCCGCGGTCAGGCCATGGGGCAGGATGGCCCATTTCCCAGATGCTGGTAGGGAAGGGAGTCTAGAAAGTAAGCTCTTCCTGCCTTGACCTGCTTTTCACTTGGGAAAGCCTTCTGACCATTGCCAGCTCATGAAATAGGTGAGCAGGAGCAGGGCGTGGGAGGGGTCTCCCCTTGCCTGCCCTCTCTCCCTCCCGGCTCACACACCTACAGGATTTCGATGGCCACCGGGCAGCCCAGGGGCCGGGCAGCCCCAGCAAAGCTGCACCACGCGGTCCTGCCCAGGCTTGCCTGACCCTCTGGGGAACAGAAGACGACAGACGTGCAGGGGACAGGGAGGACGGGATTCCCGCGGACACACACAAGAAGCAGTGGGGGGATCGGGGTGTAGGCAGTCCTTGGCGGGCCCTGGCTGCTTTCAGATGCTCACACACCAGCCAGCCCCGCTGTGGACTGAGCTGGAACAGGTCAGGCTAATAAAGTCAAAGTCGTGGGAAGACGTTTGGGTTCAGATGGCCTTTGGAAAGCTTTTTGGCCCCCTCGCCAGACCACAGGCTGGGGAGCTTGGGCCTCTGGCTTTGACAGGCCTCCGACACGGGAGCACCTGCAGCCTCCCCTGCTCTCAGGCGGGCCTGGCTCCTGCCCGAGAGAGTCTGGGGGAAGCTGAGTGGACCCCGAGGGGCCAGAAATGGAGAGGAGGGGAGACAGCTTCCCAGATGGCCTGGCCGGCTTCCCCGGGCTCTGCGGTTTGGCCACGGAGCCCTGGATCGGGCGGTGTACATGTCCCCCCCCACCGCCTGTCCTGGGTCGGGGGGGGGAGGCTGAGGGTGCGGGGGGCCAGACCCAGGTTCCGATCCCACCCCTGCCTTGGGGGCTGAGCTCAGAGGCAGGAGTCCTCACGGTTGACGTGTTCGCTTCTCTGCCGGGGAGAAATAACCCCGGCTTCTCCCGGAAGGGCACTGGGTCACAACGTGGGAGAGGCCACGGAGCCACCTCCCGAGCTCTCCTGGGCGTCCTGCCGGCAGCAGCAAGGTCTAGGCCAGGCCGCAGCCCCAGGCATGATGCCTCGGAGGCTTAGGGATGGGCCACATGGCCTTCACCTCCAAGTGTCCCGGGGCCAGTCCCTCCTTACCCCCCAATCTAGACACCTATTGCCGTACCTGTTTTGAAGGTTCTACTGGACAAGGAACGGCAGGGCCCTCACTGTGGCTGAGTCCTGCCATCAGGAATTGTGGGCAAACCGGGCTGAGCGCTTGGCTGGGAGTCAAGACAAGGAGAGAGGGGGCTCCTGTACCATCAGACTCCACCTGTGTGCCGGCCTCAGCAGTCCCTGGAGCTCACAGGGCCCAGGGGGGCGCTGTCCCCTCCGGAGGGCAGGTGGAGAGGCCCCTACTTAGTGATGGTCCTGCTGGCTCCTGTCTATCAGGCGGGCTGCCTTGGGCCGTCAGAGACTGCTCGGGTCCCAGATCCCGGTGCACAGCCTGACTTCGGGTCCCAGATCCCTGCACACAGCCCGGCTCGGGTCCCAGATCCCTGCACACAGCCCGACTCGGGTCCCAGATCCCTGCACATAGCCCCGGCGTTTGCGTCAGAGTGGACGACACACCACCTCTGGTCTTCCAGGGCTAAGTGGGGAGGGACCGGGCTGACAGGGACAAGGTGCCTGCCTCCCCAGTGAGAACCAAGGGCCCGGGCAGGAGAATGCCCAGGTGAATCCCAGCTCCTTCCATTCCCAGATGCTTCAGGTGCTGGGAGCTGGCGCTCGCCCTCCTCCCTCCAGCAGGGTGGATGGAAGGGACAATGGAAGCATCGGGGAAAGAGGCACCAGAAACATACCCAAAGTGATTGTAGACAATGAGCTCATCGTGTGCTAAGGTCCTGGGGTAGGCCTGACCTGCTGTGTGACCCAGGCCAGAGTCCTACCTCACCTGGGCCTCAGCCATCCCAGTTGCAAAGGGGAGTGGGGGGCAGAGTCCTCATGCTTCCTGCTTTGCCTCAGCTTGGGATGCCCCCAATGGGGCTCCTGCCACAGACCCTCCCTGCTCCCATGGGAGCACTGTCTAGCCGGGCTGGGGCTTGAGTGCTTGTCTCAGCCCCCGCCCCTCCGTGAGAGGATGCACGAGAGGCCAGAGGGCTTGCCCGAGGCACCCCCCAGCATGTTCTGACCCATGTCACTGGTGGAGAGGCGGGTGGCTGAGCCATCTCAGTGGCAGGCCACGGGAGCCCCGGGACCCTGCTGAGGTCCTCACTCCTCTGAGGGTCCTCACCCGGGTTCCTGAGTGGGAGACACTGGGGAATCCCGTGAGGCCTGAGGAGGGGCCGAGGCTGGGGGCCGTGGAGGGCTCAGCAGAGCATGGCCGCCACCAGCCGCCACCAGGGCACCATCAACCCAGCCAGCTGCTTCCACCCACTGGGGAAGGAGGCCTGCCACCCGGCCTAATGGCTGGCTCCAGGGGCTGTGCGGGCAAGACCTCAGAAGGCTCCCAGCATGAGCTGCTTTCCCTGTCCGCCTCTTCCACTCTCGGCTTTGTTCTCCCGTCTCCCCAAATGAAAGGCTTAAAGCCCAAGGCTCCCCCTGCGAACATGCTAACCCTCTAAATGCCGGGCAAACTCAGGAGCCCCTCTCTGACCCAGGGCTCCAAAGGCCAGGCCAGGGGACAGGGCTCAGACTGCCCCTCGGGCTGCCCCCCCAGGCCTGGGCTCCCTGGGCCTGCTGGCCCCCAGTGACCCTGCACGAGCACCCAGGCATCCCTTAGCAGCTACCACCTTGGGGTCTAAGTTTCTGTCTGTAGGGATCCTCATCCCCGTCCTCCCCTCCCCTCTCCTCCATCCCCTCTTGCCCCTCCCACTCCCCCTCCTCTCCTCCCCTTCCCCTTCCCTCCAGAAGAGCCCATGTCTTTCAGATGAGGAAGGAGCGGGAGCAAAGCCCAGGACAAAGCTTTCATTTCCTTCTAGGGAGGAGGACAGAGGGCAAAGGTCCCCAAAAGGAGGCAAACACCACCTGGCACAGGACAAGGGACAGGAAGACAGAGTGGGCCTCTGGGCTTCCGGCTGAGTTCTCAGGGAGGAGCCCCCGCGTGGAGTCTGTGTGAGGATGTTCCAGTGACTCTCACTGGCAGTCCCTCCTGAGTCTGTCTGGAGCCTGACCCTGTGGCCGCCCCCATGGGCCACCTCACCACACCTTACCCCTGGTTACTGCTCTGGCCTCCCCTGGCCGCTGCCTCCCACTGCAGCCTCTCTGGCCTCCCGCTTCTCCTGCCGCACCTGCCCACTCTGCTCAGCCACACTGGCCTCCTCCCTGTTCCCCACCTCGGGGCCCCTTGCGTGGCTGTTCCCGTGGCCAGAGGGTCCTCCCCCAGATACCCATGGGACTCACCTTCTCACCTCCTTCAGGATTTTAACTAATGTCACTTTCTCCTTTCTCGACAAGGCTGCCTCTAATGTCCCTAATGGCCTCCCTCCCGCACTCCCTCTGCTCACCACCATCTGCACACTGTAAACTTCCTTAGTGTTTGTTGACTGTGGGTCTCCCCTGCTGGAATGTAAGCGAGGACTGTGTGGGTCCAGCCCCAGAGCCTACCACAAGGCCTGCTCCCCAGCTGGGACTGGATGACTGGGGGGTGGGGGGAGACCCAGGACTAGAGGGACTAGGGGACAGTGGGGCCACCTCGGGGGCCATTGTGATGCTCCTGGGTCCATAAACCTCCGGTTTATGTGCAAATACACTGAGCACAGCTTCTAGACCCCACTTAAGCCAGGTTTTCAAGGGGACCACAACCCAGCCCTTCTGCAGTTCCAAAGCAGGGAGCGAGGGCCTCCTGGATTCTAGTCTAGAATCTTCCCTTGAAGGCTCCCCACGTCCCTGTTAGGAATCTTCCACAAAAACAGAAGTTTCTGGCCTGGGACTCCTGGGACGCCGTGGGCTGCCTTCCATCCCAGAGCCTCCTGAAAATGCAAGGAAGTGTGGCATGTGTGCGTGAGGCCGGTGGGTGTGTGGGGAGAAAATAGAACGCACGGTGTGTGTCCCAGGGAGATTGTTCATGGTTTTCAGTGCGTGTTACCAGGGCTGGAGGGGACGAAAAGGGGGGTTCTCTGCAATAATGAGAAGCTTTGTCTTTCGCTGCAGTGGAAAAGGTGGGAGGGACCTGGGGATCCCTGCGGCTCAGTTTCTCCATCTGCAGGACAGGATGGGTGGGCGGGGGCCGGGACTGAGAGAGCCTTTAGCAGCTGGTGGGGGGCGAGGGGCAGAGAATGTTCAGTGCCTGTCTGTGCTGGGCATTTGGAAGCCAGTGGTCACGATGTGCTGCTGACGCCTGGCGCGGGATGCGCGTGGGGGGCCCAGAGGCCAAACCTCCCATAGCCTGAAGGATGATCCTTAGCCGTGGAGACTCGTCCTGCCGAAATGCCCCCGTGGAAAATCCTGGCACCCTGCGGTGGTCTAGCTGCTCTGTGCAGAGCAAGCCAGAGCCGGCCCGCTGCAGCCCATCGGCTACCTGGGCCTCCCGCCCCCGCGCAGCTCGGCGAGGCTGGTGCTGTTTGGGACCACAGCCCGGGGGCCGCGCAGCCCAATGGACTCCCCGCAATGAGGAAATGAAGGCTGTATGTCTGTGCCGGGTAGAGGCCACGGCCACATGTAGCCACGGAGCGTTTGGAATGTGGCAGGTGTGACCGAGAACCTGAATGTTTCCTTTTATATCCTTTTAATTTGCTGAAAATTAAGCTTGAACGGCCACATGAGGCTAATGGCCACCAGACAGCAGCCCGGCAGCACCCTGGGGCCCAGGCAGACACCCCTGGTTGGAGGCTGCGGACTGAGGATACCTCCCCGCCCCCACCCCCAGACCCTCCCAACATTGATCCTGGGTGAGCACACCTCAGCCCGGGACTCAGGGCACTTCACAGCTGGTGGGTCCCATCTACCCTGGCAGCCCCTGCCCCTCAAAGGGCAGCAAGGGAGACAGGCCCAGAGAGGGAAAGCACCTCGCCCAGGGCCACACAGCAGAGAGAGGAAAGAGAGTGCAGGCTGCTAGACCCTCGCTCTTCCACCACCCAGCTGTTCAGAAGAGCCTCGAGAGTCATTGGAGGGACTTGGCCAAGGCCGCACACTCGCCCTGACAGGCTGTTTTCAGTAATAAAGCGTTTCTCCCACAAGCGCTTGCTGAGTCCTCTGGGTGACCACGGCACCTAACTGGGGGTCTGTGTGCCTCAGTTTCCCTTTCTGTCAATGGGAGCAGGAACAGCTGTGCTGTGGGTCTGCTGGGCGTGCTGGCACAGGAACAGGGCTGCAGTCATCCAGGTGGGGCGGGGCTGCGGGACCCGGGAGCAGGGATGGGGCAGCGTGTAGGCAGGGGTCCCTGCAGGAGGAGCGCAACCGGCTGTTCCCGGCGGGCAAGAGGATGACCAGCCTGAGAGGGTGAGAGTGAGTGAAATGTGTGTGTGTGGGGGGGGGGGCTGGTAATGTGGGCGGTGGAAGTTTCTGGAACTGGGTGTGATTCCCCAACACCACTAATCCTCCGGGGACCCTGGGTGAAGCATTTCTCCTCTGGGGAGATTGGAAGGCTGCAAGTGCCTTGGGGGGTGGGGCTTGGGAACCAAGTGATGGTGGCCAGGAAGGGCTCAGTGGGTGCGAGGCTGGCCCGCTGTGGCCTGTGGGTCTCTCTGGCACCCTCTCCCACAGCTCTGGGCTGACCAGGACTCTTGTCCTGGCTGGCAGTCATCACAGTCAAAGGACAGGGGTCTGGTTGGGCCTGAAGACGAAGGCCCAAGGCTGGGCATGCTCCGGGCCGCTCTCCCGAGGCCTGCCCTTGCAGGGAGGGGCCTCTCCTCCACCTGTCACCCGAAGCTATAAGGATGACAGAGGGCCGGCCAGCTCTCCAGCCTCCATCGGGGCTTGGCATCTCACAGCGATCACACCCTGTGACTTACAGCGCGGGAAGCCATGATTTATACGACGCAGTGCAGAGCGTCTGGGCCAGTTTGTCCGCGTCTATAATGAAGTGGCTCTCAGAAGAAGAGGCAGCCGCTTCGCGGACGTTTTCTGAGGGGGGAGGACGGGGAGGCCCATCCATCACCCTCTCACTCCCCTGGAGGCTGTGCAGCGTTTTTGCTGAACCGGCTGAACAGAGTCGCATCTGTTACTCCCTGCAGAAATCATCAAGGAGCCAAACTTGGCCATAAACGGGAGGCAGCTCAGAGGGGACGAAGGTGGAGGCTGACCCGGGAAGCATGAGGCATGTTCCAGCTCAGCCACGGGGCAGAGTGCCTGCCGTGGAAAGGAGGCTCGGACAAGGCTTTCTCCCACGGGGGCAGCGCCACCCTGTGCCGGCCATCACTGGGCACCGGCCCCATTTGATGGGTGAGAAAGCTGAGGGTCAAGGAGCTGGATGTTCCGGCAAGAGGTGGAACACAGCACTTCTCACACAGGCCTGAGTCTGGAGCCCAGGCCCTTACCCACCTGTTCCACTGCCACCAAGGAAAGCAACCCTGGGGCTGATAATTCTACTTCCCCCAAGGAGCTGGCACCCGGATCCCTGTCTGGGTCTTTGCCGACTCATCTTTCGGTGGTGGCGAGAGAGTTGTTAGCGTTTTCCCTTTAGGTGGGCGAAAATATCTATTTACCCTGCAAGGGAGCAGTCTCCGCAGGCAAATCCCTAACTAGCTAAATGGCTGTCTTGCCTCCGTGGCAGAGAAGACACCCACAGTGACAAATGAGCCACTCTGCAGGGAAATGTTTAAGTAGCACGTGTACCCACAGCACACCAACACAGATCGCCATCAACAGGGGGCTGGGGACGCGGGGGCCGGGTTGGGGGGTCTGCCCCACGGCCAGGCATGGCTCCCGTCCTAGCGCAACAGGCAGGACTTCCGGGGGTGGGGGGAGTGGGAGGGCGCACCGGACACTAGACCCCCAAGGTGGGTGTGGGGAAGGCATTGGTCGCCCCAGGCCCGGGTGGGTCAACAGGGAACTCTCACGGGACCCTCTCAGTCATGCAGGGGGTCCTTGAGGGGCGAACGCTAGAATGGGCCATGGTCTCAGGCAGGGGCGTTCATCCTGGGCACGCAGAGCTGTTCCAACAAGGGTCTTCACGGAGTGGGGGTGCACAGAGCTGGTGTGAGCCCACAGCCACAGCATGGATGGGGGAGTGAGAGACATCCCCCCACTCAACTTTTGCTCCCACCAATGCTGACCACAGTGGGTCTTGTGGGGCTCTGAACCCGGCTGGCTGGACACCGAGGGGTGGGCTCTTCTAGCTTGGAGATGATCTCGGGCAGGGGCTGCCGATTCCATTCACCCTGCAAAGAAAGGACCACGTGGTAAACTGAGGCTGGAGGGGTGAGACAGGGCACTGCCTTCCCAGCCACTTTCCCCCATGACCTCTTGGGTTCTTGCCCTCAAATTCACCTTGTCCCAAACTGAACTCACCCTCCTCCCCTCCGGTTGCTACTTGGGGGTCCTGACCTGGAGTCCCCCGGCCCCCCCCTCGACTCCCTGTCTGTCCCTCACTTCAATCCCCACCCAGATGAAGCAATCAGAGCCCCTGGGTGCAGGTTGAGTGCGTAGCCCCTCCTCCCCAACAAGGCTGCACCAAATGCCACTTTTACAACCACATCAGATGTCCACACCGAGTCTTTCTCGCCAGCCAGCATTAGCCCTGCCCTTGGTGCTGGGACTGTTTGATTCAGCGATTAATCCACTCCCAAATGCCTGCAGGAAATCTGCCTCCCACACCTGCAGGCTTACAGATCCTTCCCCACCCTGCTCAGCACCAGCCCAGCCTCCACCAGCAGCTTGCTCATGCTCGCTCAATCTGGAATAAGTGAGATGCCTTTGAATCCCCGCGGGTCCCAGATAAAGAGACCCGCCGGCCCACAGCTTCAGACTGTTTGGCTTCTCACCTGCCCCTCCCCCTGCCCTTTATTTTTAGGCTCTGGCGGAGTTGCTGGTGCCCACCCCCCACCCCTGCTCACACCACCCACCGAGATTAGTCCTGGGGTGTGATGCCGCCCCGCCTGGAGGCGCTATCAGTCCTTCCCTCTGCAGGCCGTCTGTCTGTCTGGGGGCCTGTCTGCCACCCCCTGATTTCTCCAGGTGTTCAGAGTGAGCGCTTCCTTGCCAGCCTCACGCTGGGGTCCTCGGCGGGGCCCCGGGAGTAGAGGGGCAGCCCCCGGGGCTTGCGTACCTGGAAGCGGACAGCCGAGGACTTGTTGCAGTGCATGGAGATGGGAGCAAAGCCATACAGGGCCCTGAGCACGTCCCGGCTGAAGGAGTTCCAGGGAACCGAAGCAAACTGCTTGGGGACAGAGGCCTGAGGGCAGGTGCACACTTCCTCCTCATTGAACCTGGTGGGGAAGGAGACACAGCCCAGGCTGGGGTGGGGCCGGTGGGGTGGGGGTGGGTGGGAGGGGTGGTGACACCTCCCCCCAGCCCCACTGCCGCCAGGACGCCGTCTGGGCTCTGCCTGCCCGCCCGCGATGGCTGAGAGGCTCCCTCTCTCGAGTCGCCTTGGACAGGCTGGGAACGGCTGCTCCGGGGCTGGGCCGAGGGGGCTTGTCGGACCAAGTGCAGGCTCAGCAGGGAAAGGGCATGGGGGTCCCCGTGCCATGCCCGGGGACACTCGATGGCCCGGCACCTGTTCACCAGGTGGAAGTACTTCTGCAGGAAGCCGGGGTCCACGGCGCTCTTGCAGAGCTCCAGCTGCGTCTGGGGGTAGTAGTGTACGTAGTTGACGCACATCTCCTCCAGGATCCCGAAGCCCCCCTGTGGGAGGGGAAGGCGCCCGTCAGGACCCGCGCTTCGCGCGTGCACACTGCGCGCATTCACCGAGGGTTCTCAGTGAGCAGAGTGCCGCCTCCCTGGAATTCCGTCTCCCTCGGCAGGAAAGACAGACCACGCACGAACCAACAAGTCAGCCGGCAGCAACACGTGTGAGGAGGAGAACTACTACAGGGCGGGCAGAGAGGGGGACGAGTGTGCCCATTTTATGGATACAGAAACTGAGTCCCAGGAAAGGTAAGGGGCAAGGCCTGTGTGGACACAGCCTCCCCACCTTGGCCGAGGAGGGGTCCCCTGGGGACCCAGTGAGAGCCTGGGGACCGGGACGGTAGCTGCGAAGGCCCCTGTCTCTCGGGTGCGAGCGTTGTCACACTGTGGGAAGCTCAGTCTGTCTGTTGAGAGCCGCCCTGCCGTCCCCCTCCTCGGTCCCACCAGTGACACTGCGAGGAGGCAGTGGGGCAGCTGGGGCCGTGGCCTGAAGAACCTGGCGTCTGAGACACCGGGGTGCTCATGGGGCCTGGATATCCCGGGACGGGCCACCGGTCCCCCTCGAGGAGGCAGGTGAGGCAGGGAGCAGGGCCCTTGCAGAAGTAGCGCTGGGCGGGGTGGGCCTGGGGGTCCCCTTCACTCTTCTGGCAAGTTGCCCCCTCCTGCCCTCGGCCTCAGTGGGTTCACCTCCAGAATGGGGAGACGCTGCCCTCTGGCCGGGGGGCTTGCCTATGGCAAGAGAGCTCAGAGCTCTTGGCGCCTGGACCAGCCCTGCTGCCTGCTAGCTGAGGGCCCTTGGTGGCTCCACCTCACTGTGTCCTGGTGGCACCTGCCTCACGGGGTCCCGGCAAGGCTTTGAGGGTCCCTGAGCTCGGACAGGGTGAGCTGCCATGCGGAGGAAGCACTCCACTCCAGCAGCTGTTATGTGGACTGAGCCCCTCTCCAGATAGAAGAAGGGGGTGCGGGGTTTAGGCCAGGGCTGTGCGCCTGCAGAGCACTCCTGCTCCCTGAGTTTGCACCCATGGGCGCAGAGTAGTGGTCCCCCCAGATCCAGAGGGAGGGAGGAACCGCATGGCAAGAGCCTTGCAGGCACACGGCCCTGCGTTAAATCCCCGCTCCGCCTGTTATCGGCTGTGTGATCTCCGGCAAGTGTCTTCGCTCTCTGAGCCTCTTCTGTCACCTGTGAAAATACAGAGACTCCTACCCTGAAGCCTGGAGTGAAACAACTCAAATGTTCATCACTGGAGAATGGATCCACGGCTGTGGTCCATCCAGACACTGGCATGTCGCTTGGCCGTGAAAAGACGAGAAATACTCGTAACAGCTGGGGTGAACCCTGACGACGTGATGCTGAGAGCAAGACGCCCGTCACGAGAGGGCACAGATTCTAGGACTCCCTGTATCTGAAGGTCCAGGATGGGCAAACCCACAGAGACAGAGGGCGGGACAGTGCTTGCCAGGGGCTGGGGGCGGGGGGCGGCGGCGAAGGGGGGACGGTTTCTTTGGAAGGATGGCCAGTTCTAAACTTGACTATGCGGATGGTTGCACGCACCTGCGCACAGACGAAAAAGTCACTGTACTGCACACTTGAAATGCGTGAATTGTTTGGTACGTGGATTGTATCTCAATAAAGCCATTGGAAAAACCACTGAATGAGCACCAAAAGTGGGGTGCCGTGTGGTCGACTGGGGTCCCGGGGGCTGTAGCCCCAGGTCTGTTCCACTGGGCACGTCATGGTTCCCAGGATAACTAGGGGCCTCGGTGATGAACGAGACGATTAGCAAGCCTCTGTTGGCCGGCGGTCAGTTTGCCAGGCCAGTCCGGGCTGGTGCTGCCGACCACACGTCATTACTAACAGCACAGCCTTTCACTCTGCAGAGTGTGCCGGCCACCTGCCCGCACAGCGAGCCTCAAGGACAGTGTCTCCCGGATGGACCCTCCTCCTGGGCTACCACAGGGCAGCCCAAATGCACCATGTCACATCCCTGCCGAGCAGAGTCAGCCATACAACCTACACGGTCTGCTCTTTGCCAGAAGCCCCAAAGGGAATGGTGTGAAGATGGATTTTCTGCAGCCTGCTTACTTTTGCCATCCACAGTCTGCAGGCTTGGTACCGGAGGTCTGAGGATGTTCTGGGTCCTCGGGGCCTTACTGCAGCCTCCCCTTTGCCCGGGCACTCACTCACCTCCCCCAGCCCGCACCTGACCACCCTCCCTCCTGGCCCGGGCCCCTGTGGCACTGTGCTGCTTGTCGCCTGCCCCTGGTGTGGCCTGCCCCACTGGTTGATGGAGCTCCATGAAGACAGGGATCGACCAGGCGCCCCTTGCCCCCGCGTCCGCACACAGGCGCGGATACGTTTACTACAGAGTCACGTGGGGAGCTCCTTCAACCACAGATGCCACGTGTCCCCACCCACATTCCGACTCCAGGTCTGGAGTGGAGCCTGTGAGTTTGTGTTTCTACCAAGTTCCCCGGGGGGAGCTGCGGCTGCTCACCCGGGGACCACACCCTGAGAACCGCCGGTTTACTGGATGAGTGAGGCAGGCCACCCCCTGCCCTCTGACAACCGACGCTCGAGGTGATGACTTAAGACTTGTCCTCATGAAAGCATAGAAAGCCCCGAATGGGACCCCCCCCGCACTACCCTAGGCCTCACACACCCCACGGATAGGCAGCAGGGAAAAGTCAGGGTGACTTACCACAGTGGCCAGCTTCCTGTCTCCGGTGTTGTAGGTACAGGAAGTGATGAGCACATCCCCCTGGGGATCCAAGCCAATAGACGCTCATCAGCACCTGCGCACCTGGGGTAACAGGTGCACTGGGCCTGTCCCACGTTTGACCAAGCTACTGCATATGCCACCGCACGTGGTCATCAGCCCATTACTGAGGAACCCCGTGGTGGCCTCTGGGCCCCCACAGGTGCGGGTCAAAATCTGGGTGTCCCCGGGGACTGATTACCGTTGGCGTCTGTGGTTCCTGATCAGGTACACAGGTCACAGTAGTGCAGACTTTCGGCCATGTCACAGCCCATGGGTGAACTTGGGCCACCCCCTACCTGACCCGGAGGTCCCCTTCTGCATGATCGGGGCCCCGCCAGCGACCCCCATGCCCTTGTCTCTCCCTGAAGCTCTCGGGGTTTGTGGCCGGCTGATCCGGCAGGAGGACGCAGGTCACCCTGGGTGCTGCTGGCTCAGGTCTCCTCTGAGTCCTCTCTATGACGTCCTGGTGAGTCTTACCGCAGGATGGCCCCAGACCCTGCCCTGCGTGGACGTGGTTCTAGAAGACCTTCCCGCGGCCTCTGCCATCCCCCATCCGCTTCTGTCTCTCCTCTAGGGGGGCACTCCCAGCCCTCCCGGCCTCCCCATTCTTGACTGGCACTCACCGGGTGCACAGACACGATCTTCTTCAACATGCGGATCTCCTGGGTGGGCAGAGGGGAGACTTCAGACGGCTGCAGACCCAGCCCCCAGCCCCCTGTCCTCCCCGGCTCTCTGGGGCTGTGCTCCCAGACCCTCGGGGGGAAGCCAGGACTGGCTAAGTGTGGCCTCCGGCCAGGAAGGGATGAGAACAAGAAGGTGGTTACCCAGGACAGACTTACCATCGGACTGCCTGGGTCCCCTAAATTCTGCAATCAGCCGCATGCCAGAATCTACCATCAGAGTCCCTCCCCAGGATCGAATCTCCCAAAGAGAAGGGCTGGCCGCTGTGTGCTCTCGGGTGTCGGGGCCTGGCCCAGGAGAGGGAACCCACTATAGGGGTGTTCCTATGGCCGCGGGAGAGAGAAGGTGCCACAGGCCCCCAGCCAGGCCCTGAGCAGGCCCCTACCTGGAAGTGAGGGCTGTAGTGATCATCCCGGTTCACAACCTCCCTCTCTCGGCCGTCCCGGGCCAGCACGGTGACCACCTTTCTCCCGGTCAGGTGTGTGTGGAGCTGAGAGGCAAAGATGTGGATCCCTGAGGGAGGCAGGGCCTGCAGGGCAGGGGACGGCAGGGTCAGGGCCTGGCACGCGGGGGACCCGGGCTCCGGCTGCCGGCCCCGACCACAAGCCGTGGGACACAACGCCCAGTTTGCTTCCCCAGAAAGTCTGCATCGCCCGGCCTCATCTTTCTCCCTGGACGGCTAAGGCCCCCTTCTGGAAACGCAGCAGGGCATGAGTTGCCCGCAGAGCAATGTCATTGTCACCGCCCGGGTCTTCCGAAGCAGCAGAGGCTTGGGGTGGGGGGTGGACAGCCTGCTTCCTTCTCTCTGAAGCCCCTGAAGGCTGCTCAGTCCACTATCCATTTACTCAACAGACTTTAAGGGGAGCCCCCCCCAGCAGGGGCCCATCAAGGCGAGCACGGTGTGACCTCCTTGCTCTGCAGGCTCAGGTCTGGGGTGAGGCTGTTCCGTCCAGCGTCCGCCATGCGCCCACGCAAGCAGGCCCTCGGCCACCCTGCCGCACAACCTCGGGTCACCGGCACAGCCCCCGGGGGACCCTCCCCTGTCTCACAGCCGTGGCACTGACCACGTCCCATCGAGACGCCTTGCTTCACCTTCCAGGGAGAGGCCACTTTCCTGAACTTCAGGTGAATTTGGTTGAGACGGAACATTTCCTAAGGGGATTACACACTTGAAGCGTGTTCTTCACCGCCTGTCACCTCCCTGACCGCACAGCACCGTGCCCTGCTAGGCGCTGTCCACAGCGTTGGCAGCTCAGGGAGCTCCCGGGGCCGTGGCTCTGTCACCAAGCAACCCCGGACAGCGGCGCTTCCTGCACATGGGCTGATTTCTCTGTATGCCTTCCCCCTCGTGCCCTCCACCCACTACTGTCCTGCCCTCGGCATTAGGGAAACTTCGGGCCCCCTTACAATGATATGAGGACCGGGGAACTGTACGGCCACACCTGTGACCGTTGGGCGTGGGGCCTGGGAGCCTCTGCTGACTCACGGGGCCCTGGGTTTCGCTACCCTGGAGGCTGGCCGCTCGCCCAGAGACGCGGGGGTCTGATGAGTGCACAGCGATGTGCCGTCCTGCGGCCTGGGGTCCCAAACACTATGCTTTTTCTTGGTTTGTCCATTTCGACAAGGATATCTCGACCACGCCAGCCTTTCGATTGCCGAATTTACGCCCCTTGGTGATCTGCTAAAGGAGAGGCAAGGCCAGACTCCGTGGAGCCCCTTCAACGAGTAGTCCACATAATGCAATTTTCAAGAAGAACGTACTGTTGGAAGGGGAAGAAGACTAAGGTGGGTTCTTTTTCTTTCCTCGCGGTAAAGTATTTGGAGACTTGCAAGAGAAGGCGGGTCTGTGTGCCCAGGCTGCCTAGAGGCGTTCTCCAGGGCAGGGCTCATAGCATCCTGGGGCCCCTTTCCCTGGTGCGTCCTGAGTAGGCCACCCCCCAGCTCCAGGCCCACGCCACGGAGCCTTTCACGTGGCAGGAGGCGTCACCGATGGGAGCTCTGGGGACATGGGAGGGAGCACCAGATGCTGGTCTCAGACCAAAGGAGCTCCTCTCCTGCACGGCTAATAGCTCTGTTTCTCTTTGGCTTGAGGACAGGTGGGAAGCCTGCAAGCTCGGGGGGCCCACGGGGAGCACAAGTCCACGTGGAGAAGCAACTCACTGGAGAGGCACATCCACTCCACACCTCATCACTGCAGCCTGGAGGGCGTTTTGTGAGATTTATTCAAACTGAAGCTCATGTCCTCTGTGCATGGCAATTTCTGGAATCTACCTGATAAAACGTGTCCCTGGCGTACAAGGAGTTCCCTGAAGCCTCTTGTGATGGGTGAAAAGTTGGCGGAGGTCTGCACGCTGGCGACCAGGGGGAGGTGAACACAGGAGGGGCTGGGCGAGGCAGGGGAGCTCCGAGGGCGCAGAATCCGGGGAGTCTCTGCTGCTCCTTGGGAGCGTTTGCTCCAGGGTCTGCACCCCACCTATGTTCCCACGGTCCTGAGAACGGTGCCCCCTGGCCTCGGCAGCGCAGCCCTGGTGAGGTCCACCGTGAAACCATGCTAGGCACAGGCATGTAGCCGCCAAAAGGCAAGTTACAGGACAAAGGTTTCCTATTCAGCTTGTTCTCTCTCAGACACCACATATAAGGGCATGTAGCAATTTATCGTCTGGCTGTTTGAGGGGGAGGGGAGCGGGTGCTGCAGCTGAGGGGGGCTCTAACTGGCCCTGCAGGGCCTGCACTGTGAGTGGGGAATGCACGTCTATTTTACTCACAGAATGAAAGCAGAGTTTCAAATGCAGCTCCAGGAAGCCCTGGCTGGCACGTGGTGTAGACCAGGTGGGAGCCAGGCTGTCCCTGGGGAGGGAGGCCCACAGAAAGGCTCCTTTGCACACACAGGGGAGGGAGGGCCGTGATGAAGCTGCAGGGTGGGGGATCCAAAGCCACGAAGCCGCCCTTCCTTGCTCACCACCCGTAGGACCTCCTCCCGGGAGCTGGGGCGAGGGAGCGGCAGGTGCCAGGCCCTGCCCCGCTTACCAGCTGGGTGCACTTGTCCGTGCAGTAGCCGGTAAGGACGAAGGCCGTCTCCTGCGGGGGGATGGCCATCACAGGCGTGTACACCAGCCCCAGCTCCATGATCCCCGCGTCGAAGCGCCGGAGCGTGGCCGTGTAGTGCAGGCGGATGCCTGAGGAGTCGCGCCGGCCTGGGAGGAAGAGGGGCGGAGGTGAGCGGATAGCTGCCCCCACGGGTCGCCCCAGTGCTCTGGCTCCAGCAGACCCCCAGCCCCCCTCAGCCACGCCGGCCCCCCCACACCTGCTCCCACCTGCGGCCCACACCAGAAACCAGCCGCCTTCGCTCCCACACCTGTTTATGCCAGGCACGCCCACATGGAAAGAAAGAGCCACTGTTTCTATGAAAACTAAGCGGATGCTTTGGAAAGTCTTGATAAAGGCGGGTAACTAAAACCGAGCGACGGCAGGCAGTGGGCCTGAGCTGCCTGAAGGTTATCTGGGATATCTGGGAGGCCGGCAGTTCCTCAGTTGGGTTTTGCAAAGGCTCCATGTTCCTCCCACGTGCAAAGGAATCTGAAGGGGAATCTACCTGCAGGACGACCTGTGGGGGCATCTGTGCAAACAGGAGGGCAGGGAACGGCGGCTGCCCCGTCTCATAGAGGAGTCTCAGCGCCCTGGCCAAGGTGGGCCAGCGCGCGTGTCTGTGTGCTGAAGATGCACCTAAGGTGCATCCTTCTTGCTGCCTCCCACTTTACTCCTCTGATTACCGCCTGCAAGATCAAGGTGCACCCCGGGCACGCATCTGAGGACATCACGGGGCATTGAGCAGGAGCCTGGAGCGCTGGAGCAGGGCCGGTGTCCACTGTTCCACCCCCTGGCTCGTGCACGGGCCCAGACTCCACTTGGTCAACAGCAGTGTGCTGTGCCCTCTCGGACAAGTCACTGTCCCTCTCTGGGCCTCTCTGGTTCAAAGTTAAGAGCCTCTTCCAAAGGAGAACACCGTGCTTCTGCCCATCACTGTCCAGCCACACCTGCTGGCTCTTCTTGCGGTTTGCTAATTGGAGAGTCCATAAGCTCCCTGGGCAGGCCTCCTGGTGGTCACACGAAGCTGACGGCCAGAGGTCACGGACGCTGGCAGCCAGAGGCACGGCCACATAACCATGTGGCCTCCAGTAGCCCCCTGCTCTACCCCTGCCTGGAATCGGTCAGCCGAGTCCCTGAGTACTTCAGTGCAGAGCCCTGGCCTGGCCCCACGGGCCCAGCCACTCAGAATGTACAGGGGAGCTGGGATATGGGCAGGGGAGGCCATGCAACTGAAGAATCATCCTCCCCAATTTACAGATGTGGAAACTGAGTCTCGCAGCCTGAGCTGAAGACTGCCCAAGATCACAGGTCTGGAAAGTGACAGAGCTGCGATCTGAGCCCAGGGCGTTGCCAGGGATCTGGCGGTCTCCCTGCTCATTCGCCCTAAGGTGGAGCCAAGAACGCCCCTCTTGCCTCCGCCTCCCCCTTCCCTACTCCAGCCCCCCC